TCCCAGAACTTTTTGCGTGTCACAAGGAACAGCCCATCAAGAGAGAAAGAGAAAGCCTTCACAGCAACAGACCACAACAACAACAACAAAATAATCCCTGGAAACTGAAACAGACAGGTATTCAATTGGATATGTGTTCAAATTTGGCAACAATGGAGATGAGATTTTTCCTTTCTCAGCTCTCTCTCTCAACCCAATCAAAATCACCACGGCGGAGATTGGGCCGGCTTCTAAACTATGTTATGTTGTGCTCCATTTCGTGGTTTTCTTACAAGAAAAAATAATATTTTGACAGAAGTCACGACAACTCTTTACTTCCAACAATACCCCTCTTTCCCTCCCCTCGTCTTTAAAGTTTTCTATTTTCTTTTTCTTTTTGGCCAATTATTTAATTTAATATCAGACTTTTTTTGTTTTCCCTTCAACGGAAATTTCTAGGATACCATCCCACCCCAGGTGCGTGAACTTGTTTAAAGGATATAGTTATGTTAGGTGGGTAGTTTCCTTTCTTTCTCTTGCCTATCTTTTAATATTCTCAGGTAGAAAATGTGGGGCAGATTTAAAACTTTCTGGCATTGTGGTAATAACTAGCATTCAAGCTTGATAATGCAAGACCTTCTACACTGGTTCAGGCCTTCCCAACCAACAATTCCAGCCAAATGGAGCAATTTTGCTTGCTGTAATCAATTTTTATTGCCACAATGTGAAGCAATCTGGTGGAACAATTTGCAATGTTATTGATTGATATAATTAAGCAATGCTTCTTTTTGGGGTCCTTAGTCAGCCGGTCACTTTCTTTCCTAATTCCTTGAGCTAAACTAATTGGAAAAGGTCAGTTCAAATTAGGGGCTCGATGTGCTTGCATCTATTCGACTATTAAAATTCTATTTAATTGATTCAATAACTCTTCAATAGGAAGAAAGACTAATCAAATACTTGGTTTTATTATCTTAACAAGCAATCTAAAAAAACAAAATCCTTTTCAACTACCCTTAATAAAGAATTCATGTTAACTTTGGGAATTATAACAAATCTAGGAAATCCGGCTACTAAATGCTGATCTACTATGAATACTTTAATCAATAATTGTAGATTTGGTCTTGAATGGTTAGTGATTCAATTTACATCACATACGCATGCTAGACCAATAGGAAAAAAAGTGAGATTATTACATGTGGATGTCATATGCATATGTGTGCATATTGAACTGGTCCATATAAAATTATACTATATGGCATGAAAGAATAAGATGATAAATGTAAAATGCCTATAATTCTAGGCAATGATGGACCATCATTACCTAAGCCACATGTATGCTTGTCTTAATAGACTTCAATGATAGGCATTTCTTCAATGAATATATATATATATAATTAAAAAATTGGGTTTGTGAAATGATGAGTTTTACACATTTATAATTACTAGTAATGATTCTATAAATGCATGAATCTGTTAAGTTCTAGATAATAATATTTCTTATAATTTTGTTTAGGGTGATACTCCCCACTTGGATAAAACAATTTGTCCTTGGGAAAGTTAAGAGAAAAAAGAAAAAGAAATTTCCAAATACAAATGCTACAATAAAAGGAAAAAAAAAAAGAAAAAAGGTTTGAAATTGAGGTGACCTAAATTGAAAAGCAGAAAGGAGGGCAGTTTGGTCCAAACGGAAAAGGTAAAACTTAGGTTGTCCTGTAACATAGCTTTATGGAAAAATTCAAAATTTAAAACAGAAAGCCAGAAAGGCAGCTAAGCAATAGCTAAGCAGTTAGCAAAAAAAAGGATAAGGCGCTACATGGTAAATACGTCAAAATGTAGAGGACATTATGGTCTATCAATGACAGCGTGTCAACTCAAGAAGAAACGCAAAGGCGGTGCGCATCTCCCGCATGGGGAAAACAGCGAAAGCGGGGTGTCCTAATTTGAGACAACACGACGTGATCAAATCAAGTGCTCTAATTGGTTCAAGATTCCTGCTAAAACATTATCAGATTTGAATATGAAAATTACTGTAAAAATTGGAAAGAAAAAAGGGCCTAAATAATTCGAACGTGGGATCTTAAATTTTTTTAACAGTTATATTTTTATTTATATATTTATGTTATAATTACAAGTTCATTTGTCACGGACTCTAATTTTAGGTAAAGAGTAAAACTCTGTAGCACTTTTTCTGGCCCCCCTCCATTATTTTGCTGACTGTTTTCAAGCATATATTTACTTTTTGGTCTTTTAGGTGAGCAAGAATAGAAGTTTATACTTGGCGACGATAGAAAAGTTTGGGAGTGCTAAGCATATTATCAGATGATTGGTTAGGTTGTCAAAATTGTTTGTGATGTAAAACCCTTCGATGACAGTGAAGAACTTACATGCAAAGTAAAGCTATAAAGGGAATTTACACAACTATTTTTCTTAATCACTGATAACTTTAGCTAATTCTAAATTTTCCGAAATGAAAAAAGAATTCCTTTTTTATTACTACTACTAGTGTATAACAGAATCAGTATGAGAGTGAATGTGTGCTTAGAGACTATAGTTAGTTTATCCTCTAACGATTAGATTTCACTCCCATTGCCCAGACTAGCCAAGGGGACACAATGGGCAGTAACAGTGCTTTTGTTTTTCTGCGTGAGGATGGAAAATTTCTGACTTCCCAGTCAATGGGTGCAGAAGATTGACGAATCATGAACTCCTGGACAGCCCTTTAAAAGGCTGCAGCTATGGTACAAACATGCAGTGACAGATAAATGGGCCCATGAGCTGGACGTGACAACTAGCAGGCCTAATTTAGACGGTGCTTCCGAGGTCTGTCATTGTACGACACTAGGCCCGTTAAGTAGGCCTCCCGATAATGAGAAGAGAAAAGAAGCTCAGAACCAAAGAATTAGGTTCCTGACCCCATTGGGTCATGCTCATCTCAAACTTGCGCATTACAAGGATATTTTTCAAGCATTATTTATGAATTTGTTCTACCTGAACTTCGTGCCGGTCCAGGGTCGAGAATGTGCAGCTGTCAGCCGATCGTTATTTCGTGTGGTTATTCGACATATGTGGGCTTCAAGGTGGAACTCGCCACGAGCTTCGAACCAGATTCAGGAGCGGGGCTCAGCAGCTTGGGTGTCATCAAACAATTATTATTGGACCTTTTGCAACCCACTTAAACCGAGGTTCAGGTTGCTTGAGCCCACCAATAGTGAAGTTGTCTGTGAAACGGGTAAATGGCACATAGCTCAGATGACTCTCAGCATTCAAATATCGATGCCGAGAGCAAAATCCATACAAATTTCATTCTCACGGTTCTTCATCTTCAGTCTTCAATTGAATTTTTGGAAGGCGATCTACTAAGACCTGGCTAGCAACCTAACCAAATTATAACCGATGCATTTCCAAATTAGTAACTCCACTAACCTGTTGCCTTTTTACTCCACCCCTTATCGGACCAAGGCATGGACATGAACTTGGTGGTGCTTGTTCAAAACTTGAACTACTAACTTGCTATAATCAAACTTAATATCGATATAAATGTTCTCCTTTATGAATCGCAAGATAAGTTGACTTTGATTTAATAAAACTTTGTTAGTATTAAATTATTGATTGCTTTGTTGTCAGCAACTTGTGATTTTGTATGCAAAAGCTGATGTCACATGCCATTTTATTATGTGGTTCAATTTCAATAGCCTACCGCATCGAACCTATATGGGCAAATTCCTGGAATGTGATCCCTTCAAAAGTAAACGGTTGTGGATGGAAGCCTACCTATTTGTTAATTTCATTCCAAGCGCTGACATGTACATGATGCTTAAAGAAAACTGGTGTAACAATGTAGTCCCCCCGTGGACACGATCTGAGTTGAATAAATTGTTTGTAGCTCTAGAAAGGCGAGGAACATTTCTTCATGATGTGGAGCGTTACCAGCTTCAATATTTTCCTAATTAATATCTATAGACTTCTGACCTTTTGGACATGGCGGGGGTGAGAAGGATGGTTTCAGTTCTCACTTTAGCCTCGTTTGCTGATTCTAGAAGAACTAACAACTTCCATTTAATTACCTGATCGGAAAATTTTACATCAGCACATGTTTGATCTTTCATACAGGTCATGACTTTTTTGTCGGAAGACCCAAATTTGTAGAGAATGGCGCCATCATTTCCGGCTCAATAACGTTAAAAACTTAAAATTAAATATTTAAATAAATTTTTTATTGAAATGAAAGAAGAAAAAATAAGTAAGAAAAGAAAATGAATAAGTAGATATTATAAATTGAAAAAGAGTTGATTATATATATATATAAATAACATTTACATCATTAAATATATATTATTTTTAGTTGATCAAGAATAAGAGAAATAATTACGAATTAATAGTATTGTGAGAATTGAGAAGTAATAAAAAATTAAAATTTATTAATTATGTAAGTAAAAAAATAAGAAAATATATTATTTTATTAATTATTTTATTTTTATATATTTTTAATGAGAAATGAAGTAAATAATTAAAAATTCATAAAGATGTAAAAGTGAGAGAATATATATATATATATATATTAGTTATGAAAAAATAAATAGATATTTTATTAATTATTTTAATTTATATATGTTTAATATAATTAATTATATTATTATAAAATTGTAAGACTTATGAAAATTTGATAACTTAATGCTCTGATGGCCCTGACCTAAAGCCGCCCTGATCATATTAGACAAATTCTATCCACGCATTACCTGGCGGAATGTGTTCAGTTTAGTCATTGTCTTTCACACCAGCGTCAATTCCATCTCTGGGTTAAAGGGGTCATGCAGTTGGGTGCATTTCCTGTTTGAACTTTCGGCACATAAAAAAAGTCAAACTAGTACTTTATGGTCGGATAAAAGACAGGATGTGCTACAGAAGACATTGTCTAATGTCAAAGAATGAGGCCTAGCACCCACCCTTCAAAGTGCCTTCGGAAGGAAATGTTGCTTTGGAATCTCAACACGTGTTCCTTTGTGAATATTTTTCAAAGTATTTGTATTTCTTCTATTAGCCTGGACAAGGTAACCAATGTTGCTGAAGGAACGGAACGGAACGGAACGCCTGTTTATAATTTCATGTATCTGAAAAGAAATTGTTCGCTTCTGCTAAAAGTGCGTGGACAACACTTTCCAATGTTGATGGAAGCTAAATTCTTCTCCCTTCGCCCAGGGCGTGTACGGTAAGCGAGGCTAACGTGCGTGGCTGTTGGAATTATCTCATGAACCGGATTACATTCTGATTAAATGCTCATGAGAATAAGTTGATTTAATGAGTAATGAAAAAGTTAAACGGCAGCGTAAAGTTTGACTTCTGAGTTCTATTGGTTCCCAGTTTCCCACAACCTTAAGTTGCCAAGCCTTGCAAGCACAAGACAGCTCTGTTTTTCTATAATACAGTGATAAAAATCAGGCCTTATGATGAAGACTTGCAGTATGCATTAACCATGGAGGTTTCCGTGTTTGCTATTGCTAAATATCAAAGTGATCTGCAATCCCAAGATAACCAGAGCTCCTGATCTATATTTGATCAGGAATCAACTTCCCATCTCTTTCTCTGTCCGCCTTTGTCAAAAGGATAAAGAAACAGTATGGGCAATCCAATGCCATTTTTTGTCACCGCTTTCATTCTCTTAGTGCTTAATGGCCGTGGACTGATGACAACAAAAGTGGAAGCCAAGAGCAATGTATGTAAATTAGCCAAACTCAGTTTTTATTCTTCTTCTTCCTTACTGTTCTTTTTATTGGAAGAGACTGCCCAAAATTCTGCTCTTGTTCAACAGGTTCACATTGTTTATCTGGGAGAAAGGCAGCTTGATGATCCTAAGCTGGTGACAGATTCTCATCATGACTTGCTTGCTACAGTAGTAGGGAGGTATAACAACAGAACACAGGGAAAGGAAAACAAAATTATGTGTTTGATCAATTATCTTTTAGTGCTCTTGAAATTTCAATTCTGATGCATATGCTCGTTAACGTGATGCAGTAAGGAAGTTGCCTCAGATTTGATGGTTTACAGCTACAGACATGGCTTCTCCGGGTTTGCAGCCAAGCTTACAGAGTCTCAGGCACAAAAACTTTCAGGTACTTGTTAAAATAAATGCTACTGCTTCTTCCGACTTTAATTTAAAGCCATGTAGAAAGACAATATTCCTAACAGGACATGTTAATGATGACTTTAAGTGGTACAATAGCATAACTTGCTTTGGTTTTTTTTTTTTTTTTTATGCAATCGTTCACACTTAGAGTTCCCTGGTGTTGTTCGAGTAATACCAAATAGCCTTCACAGGCTGCAGACAACAAGAAGTTGGGACTTTCTTGGCCTCTCTTCTCATTATCCCACCAATATTCTTCAAAATAGCAAAATGGGTGATGGAGTTATCATTGGAGTCTTTGATACAGGTTCGTAGTCTCAATCTTTCTCTGTGTCTCCCTCTCGTAGACTCATACACCGATAAGGAAACTCAGCAAGTTATTATCAATGAAACAGGAATATGGCCAGAGTCTAAAGCATTTAGTGATGAAGGACTTCGACCAATTCCATCGCGTTGGAAGGGTATGTGTAAATCTGGGGACCATTTCAATGCAGCAACTCACTGCAATAGAAAAATTATTGGAGCTCGTTGGTTCATTGATGGATTTCTTGCTGAGTATGGACAGCCATTTAACACATCTCAAGACCCAGAGTACTTTTCACCGAGAGATGCTAATGGACATGGAACACATACATCCAGCATAGCAGGTGGTTCTTATGTAAGAAATGTTAGCTACAGAGGCCTTGGCCCTGGGACAGTAAGAGGTGGCGCACCACGAGCTCGGTTGGCTATATACAAAGTCTGCTGGAATGTGCTTGGTGGACAATGTGCATCAGCTGATATCCTAAAAGCCTTTGATGAAGCAATACATGATGGAGTTGATGTCTTATCACTGTCAATTGGGTATTCATTGCCTCTATTTTCAGATGTTGATGAACGAGATGGGATTGCTACGGGTTCCTTCCATGCCGTTGCCAGGGGCATCACTGTTGTTTGTGGAGCTGCAAACGATGGGCCTTCAGCTCAAACAGTGCAGAACACAGCACCATGGATATTAACCGTTGCAGCAAGTACCATGGATCGAGCTTTTCCTACACCCATAACGCTCGGGAACAATAAAACCTTGTTGGTATTAGCTCTGTGATTATGTATTGGCAATTGCATCGCGAATTTGATTAGTAGGCTGGGCAGAGTTTCTATATGACTATTTATTTTAACACAAGGATGCATATGATTTTATATGTGTAACACTTGTAGGGTCAAGCCATTTTTACAGGAAAGGAGAATGGTTTTACTGGCTTGACATACCCAGAGGGTTCAGGGCTTGACCCTACTTCTGCAGGGTAGCTATATCTTAGACTATGAATTTAAACTTAGAAGATTCTTCTTCCTCTTTTTAACATTTATCATGCAAGTAAAGCAGATATCTCAGTTTTTAACTTTTGACCTGCAGTGCATGCCAAGATCTATTACTTAATTCAACGTTGGTCGCTGGAAAAGTGGTACTTTGCTTTGCCTCAGTCGGTCGTAGGGTTGCCATAAGAAGTTCTGCAGCAACTGTACAAGAAGCAGGGGGGACTGGGCTGATTATTGCCAAAAATCCGAGTGACGCCTTGACTGAATGCAGCAATGACTTTCCATGCATTGAAGTTGACTATGAAATTGGCACCCGAATACTCTATTACATCCGATCTGCCAAGTACCTTCATTTTCCTATTTCTATAGTTACTACTATTTCTAGACTGCTTTGTAATCCTTGGTTCGTGGTTCTCAAATTTATCTACATAGGTCCCCTACAGTGAAATTGAGCCCATCCAAAACACTTATAGGCAAGCCTGTGTCAGCCAAGGTGGCCTTCTTCTCATCAAGGGGGCCTAGCTCCATTGCACCAGAAATTCTCAAGGTAGATTTATTTTACTCCTTTTTGTGTATGACTTCATAGCTATCATAGTTTTATGTCAAATGGGGCTTCATAAAGTTCCGCTTAGGGTTAACTTCCTATATGCATCTTGCAAAAAGGTGGAACCTGATCATAAGCATAGATAATCACCTATCATTAATGTATTAAGTAGAATTCTGACCATATGAAGTGTGTTCGATTTCTTTTATACTGAAGAATCTTAAGCTTAGAGTTCTGTTAAAATTTGAACTGAAATATTAGGTTTAGTCTTTTGTGTACATGGAGTTACAAATTCTTAAATTTTATCCTCATTCCGAAAGAGTTTGTCTGGAATTTACCGCACGGTGCTTCCACTTCTATTTTGAGAGCATCTTGTAAATTTTTTTGTGGGCACAGCCAGACATAACTGCACCTGGAGTGAACATACTAGCCGCTATTTCTCAGTTGAATAAGTTGATGGATGATGGATATGCCATACGCTCAGGAACTTCAATGGCAACTCCTCATGTCTCAGGCATTGTGGCACTTATCAAAGCAATACATCCTGATTGGTCTCCTGCAGCTATTAAATCTGCACTAGTTACAACTGGTATTGCCATTATCAAACCTTTACTAATGATTCTAATCACAAGTTTTCTTCAGGGAGTGTAAATATGGTTAACTCACACTCAATTTATACATATCGCAGCATGGACAAAAGATGCATCAGGTTTTCCACTCTTTGCTGAGGGATCTCCTCAAAAACTAGCTAATCCATTTGATTTTGGAGGTGGCATTGTAAATCCTAATGGGGCAGCAGATCCTGGCCTGGTATATGACATGGGCACATCAGACTACATCCAATACCTTTGTGCTATGGGTTATAGTGACTCTGCCATCAGTCGACTTACAGGGCAATCTACAGTGTGCCCGATCAAAAAACCTTCCATTGTGGATGTAAATGTACCGTCCATAACCATTTCAAGTCTTAAAAATTCAGCCACTCTTACCAGAACTGTAACAAATGTGGGAGCGCCTATATCTGTTTATAGAGCTGTAATTAAGCCTCCAACTGGCATAACTGTAACGGTAAGGCCTGACATCTTACTCTTCAACTCCACAACCAAGAAAATCTCCTTCAGTGTCACAGTCTCTGCAGCCCACCAGGTGAATACAGGATATTTCTTTGGGAGCCTGACTTGGACTAATGAACAGCACGCTGTGAGAATCCCCTTGTCCGTGAAAACAGAGTTTTTACAATCTTATGCTCATGATAATTAATTATTGTCTTATTGACTTATTCCAAAAGAATCTATACTTCCAAGTTATTGTTAATTCAATCCACAGATGAGTTTTAAGTTAACTTGATTTGTTCATTTTTATTTAAGTTTGTAAAGATTTAAGATCATGACATGGTCCTCAGCCCTCTCTGAAATCGCAAACAATGAAGCTCAGCTAGTTAGCTTGCAGACTAGCTTTGCACTTTCTAAACTTAATTGCCGCTGTATTGAAAAACAGATTGAATCTCATTATATGCGCGTATTGAAAATCTTGTTTGGTGCAACATCATCGTTGGGAAGAACCAGCAAGAAAGTAATAACTTTTTGTTGATAGTCAACGATGACTTTTGTGCCATCATTTCGTACAGATCAAAATTCTAAGAGATTAGTTGAAATTAATATATTATTAATTAATTAGTCTATTATATCTATTTTGAAATTCTCACTCACGTCCCATTCTCTTTCCTAATCTTATCATAATTATATATAACAATACCAACTATACACTCTTAACAATTTATTAAATTAACTATATTCAAAACTTATCCTTAATTGATGATTTTCTTATTAAATTTGAATATTCATTAATTAATTTTTATTTGTTTTCTTATGAACACTAAAGTCCATATTAAAGTAAATTTTTCTTAATTGATAATTTTTTAAAAAATTAAGTATTGACTAATTTGTATTTATCTATTTTCTTATTAACCTTGAACTCTTCATTAAAGTCAAGATTTTTAATAAAATTTAAATTTAACTATATTCAAAACTAAACTCTTTTACTCTATTGAATTATTAAAAGGTTTAAATAATATGAAATTTACACAATTAGTGAGTTTCAATAATTCTATGTCCAATTAAAAATACACGGTGGTTGCAAATATATACAGAGAAAGTTTCTTGATTAATAAATGATCTTTTCATCTTTTTGGGTTGGTAAACTTATTTTAGAATTTGGATGTCTTTTTATAATTAATAAGTTTTTACTCTATTATCATTTATAATTTATTAATTATTTAAAAATTTTAACTTTAAATCTAAATATACTTATTTTAAAAGTTCACGTACTTTCTCTTTTTTAATTTTATAATATCAAATTTATTAATTAAATTTTAATTAGTTTTATGGTATATTGTTTTTCATAAAGGAAATTTTATTTTAGACATAAGATTAATTTAATTTCAGTGTTTTTTTAATAAAAATACATCTTTTTTAATATTCTTTTTATATTTTATGTTTTTATTCTTTAAATGTTATTTAATTTTTTATATTCTTGAATCATGACCTACAAATTTATTATTTTTATTATTATAATTATGACGACATCTACATATAAAATTATTCCCATAAAACACCTGTATAACAAAAATTAGTTATTTAAAAAAAAAAGTCTTCGAGGAGGTTACTGAAGAACCCAGATAATCTATTCAACAATATGATTTATTTATCTGTTTGTTCTTATCTTCTAAGCTTATTTTGCTGCCTATTCCTTGGTCCTTGGTCCGTTGTTCATTAATTATCCCTTATATTCTGTTTTGCTGGTAGCTTACATCTTCAATAATCCTTTAGTCAAATATACTAATATATATTTTAATGGAATTATAGACTATAACTATAACTATAACTATAACTATATATATATATATATATATAAAGTCAAGCAACTATTAGTCTCCATGTCATCATCAAGGATGTTACAGAATCAGCCACTTCACACTATCTTTTAAGTAAATATTCATGTTATTTTAGCACATTTAATATTTAGATCAATATCTCTTGATGCGAACTAAATTTACAAAACCATAAAAGTCCCTTCAAAAGTTTAAACTCCATAGATTTCTCTGTACTCTTCCAGAATGGTTGAATGTAGGACTGGCACGTTTCCTTCAGTTCCAAGAAATGTCTTTCCTCACAACTCACAAGTTGAAAGCTCTATCTTGGTCAATGCATACCGAATAAACAAAGGTAATAGATAAGGAATAGAAAAACATGTTCAAAGAGTCAAGTTTTGTTTGGAGAGGCATCCGAGCTGGCAGCTCCAAGAGCCCAAAGAACTATCAGGTAGAATGAAGGATGAAGCCTATATAAGACTTTGCCCTTGACATTTCTTTTGCGGGAACCAAAGGGATACGATACAAACACAATGGGGCGTCTCCTGATTGCAATTAGCAGCTGTAGAACTTCAATGATTTTGCTGGTCAACCTTTTCTTGATTCTAAATGGCCAAAACAGGTTAGCTGCTGCTGTCAGCGCCGAAAGCAGAGTAAGTAGTTCTACTCCTGCAGAATCTCTTCTTTCATACTGAAAACACACAACTTACGCAGCTAAGTTTACATAAATGGTAGGTTCACATAGTTTATATGGGTGAGAGGCAGCATAATGATCCCAAGCTCATCACCAAGTTTCATCATGACCTGCTCGCAACAATTGTTGGAAGGTATAGTGTGTCAATGCACTAAGGAGCAGGACGTTTGGCACTTGTCCAACAGAGAGCCTTAGAATTAATTACTTCGACACAGTTACTTCTATACATATATTAATATCGATAATTCAAAATGGTGGTATAAATTAAGTAACTATGTAAAATGCACAAGAAAAGCTTATTTGTTTATTTGTTTATGTTGCTCAATTGTTTGTTAGAGGTCTAGAGGAAGGTACAGTCGAACCATAGACCTTGACTTCTCATTTGGATTAAAGAAGGAGAAGCATGTCATTTTTATAAGAAGAAAGGAGAAAAAAAATGAATATGATTGTCTTAAGCAAATCAAGGCTTATAAGTTATAAATGGTCGCCTTCTCACTTTTTAGTGGCTAACTGGCTATGTAACTGACAGGGATTTCGAGTCATTTTTAGCATACTAAGCAAAGTCATCATTGACAATTGACATTTTACCTTGATAGAATAAAAAAATGACCATTTTATCATGAAGGAAGAAATTACCTGAGGTTATCAGGATCCTAAAGAGGAACAAAGTATAATCTGTACTCTAGGTTTTTAACCATGCCTGTGTATCCATCCTGCTCTGAGCAAAACAAAATGTGTATCCATCCTGCAGCAAAGAGGCTGCCGTTGACTCAATGGTCTACAGTTATAGACATGGCTTCTCAGGATTTGCAGCCAAGCTTACACAATCTCAAGCCCAACAAATTTCAGGTATTTTTACATTTAAGAGTGCTTTCTGGTTGCATTGCATAGACATAAAGCAAAAACGAGGTAAATTTTTATGGTCCTCACATTTTGTTCACCTGATATTGAGAGATAGCATAGGCTCAGTGTTTTTCCTGTTGGAAACTAGATACCGGAAGAACATAGACTACATTATGAACTTCATGCTCAAATATGTTCTAGTAACACTCTATTATTATGAATTATATGGTCAGAGCTACCTGAAGTTGTTCATGTCATACCAAATCGCTTTCACTCACTGCAAACAACAAGAACTTGGGATTACCTTGACATCTCTTCCTACTCTCCCCTCAATCTTCTACATGACACCCATATGGGTGATGGAATAATCATTGGTCTCTTGGACACAGGTCTTTGCCTCCTACATTCTCTTTCACTCAAAATCACATACACACAAGCACACTAGTATGCATCAGCTATTTCCTTGACAGCCCTTAAATGATGACAGGAGTATGGCCCGAATCGGTAGTATTCAATGATGACGGGCTTGAGCCAATTCCAGCCCGGTGGAAAGGACATTGTGAATCTGGTCAGCTCTTTAATGGTACCACAGATTGCAACAGAAAACTGATAGGAGCAAAGTATTTCATTGATGGTTTTCTGGCGGAAAACAATCAGCCATTCAACACTACTGATAATCCAGATTACATGTCTCCTAGAGATAGTTTTGGTCATGGCACACACACATCCACTATTGCTGGAGGTTCCTTTGTAGCTAATGCAAGCTACAAAGGCCTTGCCCTTGGAACATCAAGAGGCGGTGCACCCCGGGCTCGTATTGCCATGTACAAGGTTTGCTGGAACGTCCCCCAAGGGCAATGCTCATCTGCTGATATATTGAAAGCCTTTGATGAAGCCATACACGATGGGGTTGATGTGTTATCACTGTCACTTGGCACTCAAATTCCCCTGTTTGCAGAAGTTGATGAGCGTGATGGGATTGCCATTGGTTCATTCCATGCTGTAGCCAATGGTATTCCCGTTGTTTGTGCTGCTGCAAATGATGGACCTGCTGCTCAAACAGTCCATAACACAGCACCCTGGATCATAACAGTAGCAGCGACCACCCTTGATCGGTCCTTTCCTACACCCATTATGCTTGGGAATAACGTAACCATACTGGTATAACTATTTCCCTTTGTTTATGCAACTGATAGGACTTCGTACATCATAGAAATTTCTTTCTGAAAATCTTGTAATATGACCATCCTTCATTATGGTTTCTCAAGTTTACAACCTTTAGACATGCATAGAGCTGCTAATATGTTTTTTCCCCTTTCAATCAACGTGCTTGCTTTGAAGGGTCAAGCCTGGTATGCAGGAAAAGAGATTGGATTAACCGGTTTGGTTTATCCAGAGAACCCAGGACTGCGTCCTGCATTAGCAGGGTAAGAGAGTTTTTTTTACTGTATTTTCTTCTTTCCCTTTCTCTTGCCTTTCTAGGAGAACATAATTTAAGAAATTAAGAAAGTGAGTCTGATGATCTATTTACTTGTGGCATGCCTTCTTTGTGCATTATGTCCAAAATGCATCAATTCACAATATACATATCGATGGATGTTTTTCTCTTTCATTATACATATAGTACCTATGAAGCGTATAGCCCTTATTTGTAACTTCACAAAGATGCCCCTTGCAGGGTATGTGAATCCCTTTCTTTCAACCATACTTCAGTTGATGGAAAGGTGGTTCTCTGCTTTACTACAGTGACCAGGAGAAGTGCAGTGTCAAGTGCTGTATCAGCTGTGAGAGCAGCTGGTGGTGTTGGGTTGATTGTAGCTAAGAATCCTGGTCATGTTATGGGTCCGTGTGGAGACGACTTTCCGTGTGTTGTGGTAGACTATGAACTTGGCACTCAAATTCTATTCTACATT